ACAGCTAGAAAACCAGCATCTAAAACAGCAATTCCTTCAGGGGCCAAGAAGGCAATAAAAATGAGCAATGGCAAGAATATCTGGGTATAAAACAGGAGGAAGTAGAGGACTGGAATGGACTGGAAACTAGTAACGTCCCACTTAAAGGGAGCAACCACTATTCAAATGCAGCTGACTGTGTCGGGCAGGGATTTGAGTCCAAAGTTTTTTGAAATTTTGATTTTTCAAGAGAAAGGACAAATCCTGATTTTCAGATGTTGGCAAGTAATTTAAAAATGTTTAGATACTGTGCAGGCCCAACAGATCTATCTGTGGGCCAGGTCTGGACCATGGGCCTCCATCTGGCGGTTCTGCTCTGCAGCCAGTTATGTAGGGACCCACCTGGGCCCTTTCTTCTAGAATAGAACGTTAACTGTATAGCCTGTCATGGTTATAACTTCTCCGGGCAGTCTCCCAACCAAGAGCTTGGACCCCTCTCATGCCTCCGGTTCAGGACTAATTTAATCCTCCTATCCCACCCAAGTCTCACCCTGGATTCGGTGCAGATCTTTGGTTTTTCCCTAATTATGACCTCACTGGTTTCTTCCAACTTGTGTCTCTTGAATCCAAGCTGCTCTTATTGCCAGCCCTGCCCAAGGAGACTCCCTCCATCACATCACGGCTTTGCTGGATGACCCATGAATCCGACTCTATGCCTTAAGTTCCCAGAAGAAACCTAAGCTGAACCCTGGAGTCCCGTCAGCCAGGATAAAAATGACTTGGCCCAATCTCTAACAAGTTCCTGTCTTCGGGCCTGCACTATGGAAAAGCACTGGGCTTCTGGGACAGGAGGCTTGCAGGAATTCAGATTAGGAGAAAGCTGGGTCTAACTACATTTGAGGGAGAGGAGCTGTGAGATGCCATGACTTTGCATTTCTAAGAGGTGAGGTCTCTCTTCCTCACAAAACACTGTGATGTGGGGATGGGCTTTCGAAGCACAAAAACAACTGTGAAAAATCATAAAGAGAAGAAGATTTAACAAATAAAAATATTCTGTGTGTGAAAAATTAGAGCCCTGGCTGGTGTAGCTCAGTGGATTGAGTGTGAGCCTGTGAACCAAAGAATCGAGGTTCGATTCCCAGTCAGGGCATATGCCTGGGTTGCAGGCCAGTTCCCAGCAGGAGATACACGAGAGGCAACCATACATTGATATTTCTCTCCCTCTCTCCTTCCCTTCCCCTCTAAATATAAATAAATAAAATCTTTAAAAAAACACAACAACTTAATGTGTAAACAATTTAAAAAAAAGAAAAAGAAAAAAGAAAAGAAAAATTAGAGACAGAGGTGCCCTTGGACTTGGTTATTTCTGGAATTCACCCTCAGGCCATCGCAGGAGCAATGCGCAAGTGCTCTCCGGAGCTCAGAAAGGAGTACAAACTCATAAAATCTCTGGAAAACACACAAAGAACATCAAACAATTTCCTCCTTTAGACTCAGGAATGTCCCTTGTACAGGGTAGGGTAGAAGTAGGTTTACAGTTGTTAGTATGGAAAATATTACAATAATTAATAAATAATAATACAAAAGATACTCTGTTTCTTGTACTCATGACTGTAAACCCACTTTTTCGCTATCCTGTATAACTCTATCCTAAGAAAATACGCAGTGGGGAGAGAGGTATAAGGGGACTAAGTGGTAACGGGAAAAAATACAATAAAGATTAAATAAAAGAAAACATGCAGGAACTGCACAACTGACTCACGCACGGGACCCCGGCAGCAGCACTGCCTAGAACACCAGCGAGCACCTACTGTGCGCCAGAGCAGTGCACGTGCGACTCGCTGACCCCTCACAACCGCCGTGCCAGGTAAGTACTGTCGTGTTCCTGTTTCACAAGTGACGAAACGGAGGCAAGAGTCGGCAAACTCCTCCAAAGTCAGTAGTTACTCAATAGTAAAGCTGGAAACAAACGCATTCGTAGGGGGACCTGTGATTTTTATTTTAATTTATTGATTTGAGAAAGAGAGATATCCATCTGTTGTTCCACTTATTTATACAGTCATTGGCTGCTTCTTATATGTGCCCAGACCAGAGATCAAACAGGCAACCCTGGCCCATCAGGATGATACTCTAACCAGCTGAGCTACCTGGCCAGGGCCTGGGAGCCTGTGATCTTAACCACTACACCGCATTTCCAGGAAACGACTTCTATGTCCCCAAACCATGTTTTCTAGGAATATTTTTGTTCATCTGTTTTGATTTTGAATTTTTTTTTAACTTTTTCAATTAATCCTGGCCAGTGTGGCTCAGTTGGTAAGGAGCGCTGTCTTATAACCAAAGGGCTGCAGGTTCGATTCCTGGTCAGGGCACATACCTAGATTGTAGGTTCAAGCTACAGACCAGGTGTGGGCACAACGACCCTGGGAACAGACACACAGTATCCCCTGGTGTGTACAGGAAGCAACCAATCAGTGCTCCTCTCTCCCTTCCTCTCTAAAAGCAATGAAAAAAAATGTCCTCGGGTGAAGATAAAAAATGTTTTTAACTTTTTTCAATTACAGTTTACATTTGATATTTTGTATTAGTTTCAGGTGTTCAGCACATTGGTTAGACAATCATATACTTTACAAAGTGTCCTCCCAGACAGTTCTAGTACCCAGCTGGCCCCACACACAGTCACTAGAACATCATCGACTCTACTCCCCACCCTGCACGTTACATCCCAAGTCTGTTTTGTAACTACTGATCTGTGCTGGTCAATCTCTTAAACTTCTTTGCCCAGTCCACCAATCCCCTACCCCCTAAAAATACTGGATGAAAGGGATTAGATATTAAATTTTTGTAAAAAGTAGTGTACAAACCACAAAGACTTGATCTCAAGGGTACTCTTTAAAAATGATAAATATGCTCAGAAAAAAAATACTGGGAGGTTTTTCACACAAATAGAACTGTTCTCTGGGAGGTAAAATTGTGGGTGATTTTGATCTTTTTTTCTAATGTTTGCATTTTTCAAGCTGACTGTAAAGTCTGTTACCTTTTAAAGGATTATTTGTTTATTTATTTATTTATATTTTAGAAAGGAAGGGGAGAAAAAGAGGCAGAGAAACGTACTAGGTTGCCTCTGACATGTCCCCAACAAGGGACCTGACCCAAAACCCAGGCACGTGCCACCACCAGAACCGCACTGGCAATCCCTTGACCCTTGGGAACAACACCCAACCCGCTCAGCCGCACCAGCCAGGAGTGAATTACCTTTTAAATAAAACAATTTTTAGAAACAAGCCCTGTGTGGCTCAGTTGGTGGGAGTATCAGCCAGTGCATCGAAGGGTTCAGGGTTCAGTTCCCAGTCAGGGATTAAAAAAAAAAAAAAAGGACATACACACTACTTCGAAAAATATTTTCTTTGAAGAACAGTCCACAAAAAGGGGGAAAAACCATGATAAAAAACAGAATATAAAGTTATATGGAAAGTATGACACAAAAAGGAAGGAATGAAGACAAACCGAACTATTAGAAGTTCAATCTGGCTGATATCTCACCCTGGCTGGTGTGGCTCAGCGGACAGAGCGCCAGCCTGCAAACCAAAAGGTCACCCATTTGATTCCCCATCAGGGCATGTGCCTGGCTTGCTGGTCAGGCCCCAGGTTTGGGGCGTGAAGAGGCAACAGATCAATGTACCTCTCACACATCTCCCTCTCTTTCTCCCTCCCTTCTCCTCTCTCTAAATAAATAAATAAAATCTTCAAACCTTAAAGAAAAAAAAATAGGGGTTAGTTTAAAAAATAAAGTCCTCATCTCTTAGTGGTACATTAAGGATGGTTTGAGGTGAAGTTATTTTTCTCCTTGATGAATATGTTTTACAATCAGAAAACCATTCCCTTTTTCAGAGAGCTCGGTCAGACCAGAGTCCCCCTGACCAAACCCTATCAGATATACACCAAGTACCCTCCTTCCCTCTTCCCAGGGGTATCTGGGGAGGAACTTCCTTCAACATTTTGCTTTAACAAATTTCTTAAAGTTAGGAGGCACGGTGGACTGTACAATCCTTTACTGCTAACTCCCCAGTGTTCTCAGTCTATTTTTAACACTGTAGATAAACTACATATTCTGCCAAAGCTTTTGCGAGCAGAGATATGGGAAGAACGGAGCATAATTAAGGGCCTCTGGCAACACAGTGCTAAGGAATGCAGGGAATTCTGGGCCACTTCTTAGCTAAATAAAATATTAGCTCCACAGCACCAGGTAAATTCCCAGTGATCCTCTCTCCCTTTCAGGGACTTCATACAGAGTCCCTCCTCACCACCTCATAAGAGAAAGATGAAAATAAACAGGGATCCACCCAAACCCAAATATGCGGCAGAAGCCACCCACCTGCCTCTCACTGGCCCCGGGCAGAGCTTGTTTACAAAGTCAGTGTAAAGAAACCCGAAACACCAGTGGGAAAAGCCATTTGGGTGGTGCCTGCTGCTTGGAACTGGCTGTGGAGAGTGTCCGTGGCAGGAAGAAGTGACCGCGTGATCCTGCGGGCCTGAGGGACAATGCCTTGGGACCCCCCACGATCTAGAGAAGCCCATTTCCTCACTGGTGCCTTTAAACTCGTTTAAGATAAAAAGTTGAGAAGCAAAATAACTCTTTTTTTTGAGCAGCAGAATAAAGGCTTCAGCACTTATGATTTTTTCTGGGTTAAGCTATAACTGGTGATATGGACTCCAATCAAAACGCCTGACAAGACAAATGTAAGGCGTGCAGCAACCTGTCACACAGACTGGGGAACAGACCTCAGGGAGAGCCAAGGCTAAAAGGAATGTGAGGCATCAAAGCCACAGACAGACTCGAACTTCTCCTGCCCCCATCCTTTACCCTTATCTCAGGACCAAGTGACTTTGGTGAAATCACTTCTTAAAGACCCACCTCTTTCCTCCCAAAAAGCAAAATACACTGTTCAATGTAAGGTGTTACTGGCATTACTAAAGTAGCCCGCGCCCTCACTAATACGCCCCCATGTAGCCCCCAGACTCACATATGCAAGCAGCAGCGAGGAGCCGGCAGGCCAGGTACGGCGGGTCGCAGGTCGGAAAGGAGGGCTGGATGATGTAGTTGGCGAAGGTGATGGCAATGATGGCCTGACTGGTGGGTTCGACGATGAGCAGGGAGGCCCACAGGCGAATGAAGGCAATGAAACCCCCAAAGGCCTCTAGAATATAAGCATAGCTGGCCCCAGACTTGGTGATGGTGGTCCCCAGTTCTGCATAGCAAAGGGCACCCACAACGGAGAAAAGCCCACCAATGGCCCATATGACCAGAGACAACCCATAGGAAGTCGTGTACGCCAGAACACCCTTGGGTGAGACAAAGATCCCTGAGCCGATCATGTTGCCCACCACCAGGCTGACGCCATTCAGCAGAGAGATCTCCTTCTTCAGCTGCATGGTTTCTGTGGTCCCTTGAGGTGGCATGCTGTCGTCCTCCTTCCTGGGCTGGCCGGCCTCAGGAATGAAATGATAGGCAGTCGCCTGGCTCTCCAGCTCCTTGGCTTCCATGGCGAATGTTTCCTTCACACCTGTGTTTACTACGGCCTGGCAAAGAATATAGGTATGTCAGTCTGAGGCAGGAGCTGGTGAAGCTCTAGTTTAGACCTGCAAGGCAGGCAGATTTCCGGGCCCACCTCTTACGTAGGACAGCACGCCTCATACACAGACCTAACTACAGCGAGCCTGTCTTGGTTTCCACCACGGGACTCAGGGAAATGGAGGGAGGCAGACCTCCATGGCTCCCAATGAAGACCTCGTAAGAGCTCAGGCACGACATGAAGGCAACTTCCAACAAGAGGTACCTGGCTTGTTGCTTGAGGCTGGCATTGGGTTTATCCGTAGTGCGGATTCTCCTCGAAATATAGTTTTGGCTGTGTTCTTGTCAGCTTAAAACCTGCAAACCTGCCCCACAGAAAAGACCACAGTCCCAGCACCTGGTTCACAGTCTTAGCCAGCCCGAACGTCTTCTCATTGTCTATACCCAGGTAACCCTACCCACTCCCCTCCACCCAAATGTAAACAGGGACTTCCGCGGTGTCCAGCCACATGTGGAGAGGACTGGAACTACTGTCAGGCTGGCAAACAGCATGAGCAGCAGGTGGGAAGGGCTAGGAAGATGCTCGGGCAAGGGCATAACACTACTGCAGAGAGGGACCAAGGAGAAAACCTTCATGAAAACACACACCCTGCCCTGACTGACGTGGCTCAGTTGGTTGAGCATAGTCATCAGTTCGGTTCCTGGTCAGGGCACGTGCCTGGGTTGTGTGCTGGGTCCCCAGTTGGGGTGCATGCAAGAGGCAAGGGATTGATGTTTCTCTCACACATCGATGTTTCTCTCCCTCTCTTTCTCCCTCCCTCCCCATAGCTCTGAAAACAAACAAACTCTTTTTCAAGAAAGAAAGAAAATACACACTCATATACTGCTATTTCAAAAATACCCACCTTACTTCCTACATTGCAACATGTCCATTCAGCACCTTGCTTTTCCCCAAGTGCCCAGAGAGGGGTAACGAGGTAAAAACAGATGGAGAAAGAACACCCAGAGGGCACTGTACCCTGGAGCTCCTCTGCTATTGGTTTGTTCGCTCTCCTCCTTAGTATGCCCCTCACTACCATCTAGGGGTGCAAAGCGATTCTCCCAGAATAGGACCCAGGAGTCCTGACACCTAATCGAAGCCACAAGGTTCCTCTTATCCACAGATCTGGTTTTGGACGGCATCCTGGAGGGAGGTGGGAGCACGCGCACACACACACGTGCACTCACACACACTGTAGAGTTGGGCCAGCCCAGAAACCCCGAGGGAGCTGGACTCCACACCAAAGGACCTGCAAAGGACCCAGAGTCTGTCAGAGGAAGACAAGCGCCTTCCCGACCCTCCCCAAAGCACAGCCCTTCCCCCCCCCACTCCATTTCTGTGTGGAAGGAGTCAGGAATTCAGATTCCCTACTTCTAACTCATCTTCTGAAGGAAGGAGTCTGGAGGCCATTCGATTCCCACCCAGGAGTCAGTCCTGTAAGGGCACAGAGATAACGCCCACGGAGAAGCATGGGGGTCCATCAGTACATCATCTTCCCAGAAGCCTCTGACCTGCTCAACAAAGATGGATATTTTGGAACCTGGCCTCACTGACCTGGCACGAGGGAACCAGGGCCCCGGAGGGAAAACTCCGCTCTCCACAGCCTCCCCCGGAACTCCTGCCTTACCGTCTCAGTGTCCCTGCTGAGTCCAGACCCAAACCCACCCGGGTGGAAAAACTCCTCTGGGCCCTAGAGGCCTTCCCCCACTCCCAGAGGGGCTGAGCCAGCCTGCCCCTGCCTGGTGGCACCTTTCTTTCACTCCTGGCATCGGGCCTGCAGGTCTCCCTGAGCCGGCACACCACAGCGTATTTGTTTTCATGCCTGTCTGGTGAGCCCAGGCACCCGAGAAAACAAAACAAGGAAGTAGCTCAGGTGCAGAGAGACCTGGGGCTGTTCTTTTTCACCCACCGCAACGCGGGCAAACAGAAACACTGGCGCAGTGACCACTTCAGCCCCTCCTATTCCATCGGACCCTAGCTGGGGGGGGGACGGGGCAGGAAGGGGAAAGCAACTGGGTATTCCCTTTGAACTTCTGACACCAGATGTGTGGGTTTTCCACACAGCAAGCAATTCTGCAACACCGGCCGGGTGTCCTACGATTTAACTAAATTCTGACGCTGTCTACCCAGAGATACTATCCGTTCCCACAGGTTAAGGGCTCAGTCCCACAAAACTGCCCCCTACCACCACTTCAGATGCCAATCGCAGGTCCAGGTTGTTACCAGTGCCTCTGACTGACTGGCTACAAATAGGAGGTTCCAACCACCCCCTCCTTGAGTTTAATCAATTTGCTAAAGCAGCTCACTGGATTAAGGAAAATTTACTGGATTACCAGTTCACTATACTCAAGGAAGGTATGGTACAGAGCGAGGTATGTGCAGGCGGCATCCAGTTTCCCTGCTCTCTCTGGACACATCTCTCCCAGCACCTCCACGTGTTCGCCAACCCGGAAGCTCTCCAAACCCCATCTTCTGGATTTTTTTAGTGGAGGCCTGAATACAAAGGTATGAATGATCAAATCATTGACCACAGATGATTGGTTCGACCTCCAACTCCTCCCCCCTCTCCAGAGGTTGGGACTGGTCTGAAAGTTCCACCTCTAATCACGAGGTTGGTTTCTTGGCACCCAGCCTCCATCCTAAAAGGATTTAGATGCTTTCCCAAACCCACCGGATTAATAGAAACTCCGGCATGTTGAAAGGGGCTATAATAGACATCCATTTCATTTCACATTTTTGTTTTATGCTCTGGAGCTATTTCAGGAACAAAACTAAATATTGCAACAAAAGCCTGCCCGTATGGCTCTTCTTACATAGGAAAGTACAGGAGCTGCGTGCCAGAAATAGTGGACGGAGACCAAATATATATTTAATCACAACTGCCGCAGAGAGGAAAAAACAGAGTTAAGCTCGTTTCACAGGAAAATAAAATCTGATATAAATGGAATCTCCTCAACTTCCCACTTCCATTTAGGATGTAGAAAACTGGGAAAAGCAGCACTCCCACTCCTATAACAAGAAAAAGTTAAATAATCTACAAAACCATAACTTTCCTTGAAGCCATCAGATAACTGAGGTTACAGGACAACCAAAGGGACTGAAATTTAAGGGAAAATAAGCATGTCTAAGGAGAGATGCAAGCGCTGGCTCACCTGCAGCAGAGGTAGAACGATGGGCCCAACGTCCAGCAAGGAAAGGAGAGTTCAGATAAAATTTGCAATGAATTACTAAAGGCCAAGTGTGGGTTAGCAAGAGCCACAGACACTCAGAGGTTTTCCTCCACAGACTTCAGTGGACATTGCTAAGAAACACTGGGCAGGGGCCCAGAGAAAGCCCCCGCTGGTGCTCGTCTAGAGAAAGCAGTCACTGCTTTGGAAGAAACACAAAGGTCCACCTGGTCCTTTCCCTAAAGAATAAAAACTTTAAACCCCTGAGGAAAGGGCAGCAAACTCCGTCACTCTCAAAGCAGCTGGGGCAGGAAATCCTGACCACACTGAACCTACCTACCCTTACACGTGTCCTCCCTGTGGGGCAGGGGCAGGATCACCCAGAAAAACACACACACACCCGGACCCAGGGACACAGCCTCTGCCTGAGACCGAGGCTGAACTCAAACAACAGCGAACCCGATGCCCTCCACCACCAGATTAGCAAGTACCCAGCAAGGAGACTACTGAGCTAGACTGTGCCTTGATGCTTAGGTGCAGAAAGGCCTAAAGCTGAAGGTGGTGGAGCATAAACACAGGAAAAATCCTCCCTCCAGCAAACCAACCCTAAGCTGTAGGAAGACTCTGGTACATAAAAAGTAACCATAGCAACAACAAAACCCAAACATAACTGCCTCAAACTTCCATACCAACAACCTACTAAAAGAAGTGGCATACCTACTTCCTGGAATTAATGCACCTCAGTCTCTACTATTCCATAAACTACATCTGTAGAACAATAACAAATCACAAGCAAAAAAACAAAAAAACCAACCCACTATCATCAAGAGGCAAAGTAATCAACAGGATAAGACTTAGAGATGACCTAGATATTGAAATTATCAACAGGGAGTTTAAAATAATTACGATTATGTCGAAAACAATATAAAAGAGGTCACTTTAACACAGGGCAGGAGCTCCTGTCCCAGAGGGACTGCCTTGCACACCCTACCCCTCAAACCTGTGCAATGTTAAAACTGGGTAAAGTAACCTTTGGACTGCGCCTGAAATTTGTTTGTTTGTTTGTTTGTTTGTTTGTTTTAGAGAGAGGGGAAGGGAAGGAGAGAGGGAGAGAAACACCAACCAGTTGCCTCCTGAACGTGCCCTGACCAGGGTCCGAACCTGCAATTCAAGTGTGTGCCCTGACCGGGAATCAAAATAGCAACCGTTTGGTCCCCAGGACAATACCCAACCAACTGAGCCACACCAGCCAGGGCTAAAGACATTGTTCACTTTTTAAAAAATCTTTATTGCATTTAAAAAGTATATTTTAAAGACATTCTTTACTATTAACACTACTATGTAAGCTTACCTGCACCTATAAAAATTCCTTCCTTAGCTTATTAACACCCATAAAACTCTCCACCTGTTACTCATGTCATAATTCCCCTGCTCTTTCTCATAAACACCTCCTGCCCTCATCTCCTCACCCTGTCTACCTGAGTCAGCACTATTGTTTTGGATCTCATATGTTTGTTGCCTCTCACATTGGCCTTTTATTTTTATGTTAACAATTAACATAGTAAATGTTCTAATGAAAAAGTTGGAGAGCATTCAGGAACAGATGTGGAATTTCAGCAGAGAAATGAAAACTTTAAAAATCAAAATGGTTAATAGTGAAAAATAGTGAAAAAATAAAAGAGAATAAAGTCTCCAGCCCTGGCTGCTGTGGCTCAGTGGCCTTTGAGATCTTTGAGAACCAAAAGATTGCTAGTTCAATTCCCAGTCAGGATTGCGGGCCAGGTGCCCCAGTGGGGGCCACATGATAGACAACCACACATTGATGTTTCTCTCCCTCTTTCTCCCTCCCTTCCCCTCTCTCTAAAATAAATAAATAAATCTTAAAAAAAATAACCAGAACTGCCAGAAAATCAAACTGTATGGAAGTCTGATAACCAAAGAGTTAAAGAAGAAATATTCATCCAGAATGGTAGGAGGGGCAGAGATGGGCAGCAGGGGCAGCAAGGACTCAAAGCAAGGTGGGGACTAGAGGACCAGGAGGTCTGTCCCAAATCTGTGTGCAGATAAACCTGGAGGAACAACTGGGGAGCAACACAGACCGTGGAACCCAGGGTTCCAGCACAAGGAAATAAAGCCTCAAAACCTCTTTAGGGTGGGGGTTGTGGCAGGAGGAGAAACTCCCAGCCTCACAGGGGAGTTTCTTGGAGAGACCTACAAGGCCCTAGTACGTACACGAGCCTGCCCACCCACCCAGGAATCGGCACCAGAAGGGCCCAATTTGCTTGTGGGTAGTGGGGGAAGTAACTGAAAGCCAGCAGAGAGCAGAGCAAGCAACATTGTTCCCTCTCGGACCCCTCCCCTACAGACAGCCCACAACGCAGTGACAAGGGTTGCTCCACCCTGGCGAATAACTAAGGCTCTGCCCCTTACAAAGTAACAGGCATGCTGAGACAAAAAAAATATATATATATATGGTCCAAACGAAAGAACAGATCAGAGCTCCAGAATAAAAATACAACTAAGGATGAAAAGATAGCCAACCTATCAGATGCAGAGTTCAAAACACTGGTAATCAGGATGCTCACAGAAATGGTTGAGTATGGTCGCAAAATAGAGGAAAAAAGTGCAGGCCATGAAAAGTGAGATAAAGGAAAATATACAGGGAATCAATTGTGAAGGGAAGGAAACCAGGACTCAAATCAGTGGTTTGGAGCAGAAGGAAGAAATAAACATTCAACCAGAACAGAATGAGGAAACAAGAATCCAAAAAAAATGAGGAGAGGCTTAGGAACCTCCAGGACAACTTTAAATGATCCAACATCTGAATCACAGGGGTGCCTGAAGGATAAAAGGAAGAGCAAGAAATTGAAAACTTATTTCAAAACATAATGAAGGAGAACTTCCCCAATCTGGCAAAGAAAATTAACTTCCAGGAAGTCCAGGAAGCTCAGAGTCCCAAAAAAGTTGGGCCCAAGGAAGCACACACCAAGGGACATCATAATTACATCACCAAGATTAAAAAGAAGAAGGGAATCTTAAAAGCAGCAAGAGAAAAGGAGACAGTTACCTACAAAGGAGTTCCCATAAGATTTCTCAAAAGAAACCTTGCAGGCAAGAAGGTGCTAGAAAAAAGTATTCCAAGTCATGAAAGGCAAGGACCTACATTCAAGATTGCTCTATCCAGCAAAGCTATCATTTAGAATGGAAGGGCAGATAAGGTGCTTCCCAGATAAGGTCAAGTTAAAAGAGTTCATCATCACCAAGCCCTTATTATATGAAATGTTAAAGGGACTTATCTAAGAAAAAGAAGAAGATCAAAACTATGAACAGTAAAATGACAACAAATGCACAACTATCAACAACCGAACCTAAAGAAACAAAATGAACTAAGTAAGCAACTAGAACAGGAACAGATTCACAGAAATAGAAATCACATGGAAGGTTATCAGCAGGGAGGAGGATGGGGGAAGGCACAAGGAATAAGAAGCATAAATGGTAGGTACAGAATAGACAGGGAGAGGTTAAGAATAGTATGGGAAGTGGAGAAGCAAAGAACTTATATGTATGACCCACAGACATGAACTAAGGTGGGGGAATGATGGGGGGTGCAGGGCGGAGGTGAATATAGGGGAGAAAAAAATGGGACAACTGTAATAACATAATCAATAAAATATCTTTTTTAAAAAAGGATCTATATTCTAGAAGACCTGAAAATGAAATACCCCAGCATAGTTCTTGTCTAAGTAGTTATATGAATTCCGTGAAATATAAAACTGGCACGTGCAATAGGACCTACATCCATGTAGGAAATGGGAGCAAGTCAGGGGTGGTAGACAGACTTCCAACAGGAAAAAAACAGCTTTGGTTCCTACCATCTACTCGGTCAGTCTCAGAACTCAGG